CTTGATGAGCCTCTGACAGGTCAGGTCTCGGCGCACATCTTTAGCGCCCTAAAGCTGGGGGCTAACTTTCCTTTGGTCCAGAAATGATGACTTCAGCTTTCATTTGCTCTGTATTTTATTTCTAATCCTAAATACTTCTATTGTGTAATATCATAAATTAATATTTTTATCTTAGGAAGCATTTATTTTCTTACTCCATGTACTTTTTAAGAATAAAGTTTCTTGTTTCTGATTCACAGAATTGAGTGCATCCCAACATAGTATTTTAGTTGCAGTGTGGCTCACAACTAGGTCCTGCCGATGATAGTGAGGAGAGCCCAGAAGGTCCTAGAATGGGTCCCAAACTCTGCAGGGTGATTTATAGAAACAGGGCTGTGTGTAGGTGGTTGTTTCTGTCTGTGATGGACTGGTGAGCTGAACAGGGTGCCCCCCCACCCCCACCCAATTACTGCTGCAGATAGGAAGCATCCTCTCCATGACGACACAAATTAAGCAGGTATAAATAAATGTTGGATGCAAAGCTCTGAACATTTCATCGGCAGGCTTTTAATTCTCCCGCATATAAACCTTAAATATCTGCATGCATGCAGTAGGGTCTAAGGCAGACTATCCTTTAGCTCTCAGTTTAAAGGAACGGTTACTTTTAATTCAATGAACTTTATAATATTACAGCAGATTATTAGATTTATTAGATATAAAACATATTAGATTTACATTCTAATATGTTTTATATGTTTGCTGGCTAGTTTTGTTTTGTATTAAACAGTGAAAGGATGAAAACACATTTGATTAGTTTCTCTGGATGGTAAACGGATGGATGTGGCTCCTATGGTAAAGAGAAGGTGTATTTTTAGCTTTGAAGCCTTTCATCTGATCTGTGCTGTCTATATTAATGCACCAATGATTCCCCTGTTCCTGTCCTCCCAGGAAGCTTGGTATGAGTTTCGCATCATGGCTGTCATGGATGACACGGTCAGCGAGCCCAGTAACGTGGTAGGAGTGTCCAGCACAGGTGAGCTCCCCCATCATGTAATGAACGAGGATTTCCAAGGGTATAGATATGGGTTCTCCAAGGCAACAATATACAGAATTTGATGAGATATTATTGATGAATTTATTTTTAAAAAGACAGTCACAGAGTGAGATAGAAACTGTTAGAAACAGCCATGCATTGCAGTGGTTCTCGTTCAGAGGACCCTCTGGCTGTAACCAGGGTGTAACATCAGACCATTCTTGCATCTTAAGTTTGGGGGGGGGGTACTTATGCATTGCACACACAGCACCTCCAACTTAACATTGTGCTCTGTTAGCACTTTTTTATACAGGCGTAATTTGCATACACACTCCTCAGTAGCATTTTGATAAGTATGACATCACCAGACTACTTTTTATTCACCACTTTTTGTGTTTCTTTGGGCTAAAAATGGGCTGAGAAGTCATTAGAACCTCTCTATTTTTTGCTGCACACTTGATGCCTGTTTGCTTTGAACCCAAGCCTCCCAAAATTTGATGTTGCTTCTCTGCAGAGGTCACTGAGTACACATCATTTGGTCCCACAGCTGTTGGAAGCTAAAGCAGAGAATCTGGTTATTATTCCTCTGCTGCCCTCTAATGGTTAGAGCTGGGCAGTGTTGGAGTAGTCGTGACCAAAAATTTCTGAAAATAATTAATCTTTTTGATAGATCTTCACAAAAAAAGCAAATGTTTGTATGTTAGTGAATAAAAGAAGGCCATATAAAGAAAAGGAAGAAAACTACTGCTGGCTTCTGTTACAAATAAATTCCAGAGTGAGAGATTCCAGTGTTCTCATTGGTTGGTTGCTACTGATTATTTTAGTACATGATTCATTTAAAAGAAGAAACTTTCAGTAGATTGATATAACTCATTAAATAAACACTTGGAAAAAGAAAGGAAACCCAAACTATTTCTTGCACATTTTCAATGTTATTGTGACAAAAAACATTAAAGATAACTTATTTTAAAAATAAAGTATATATATCCCTGTTTGTTAGATGTGAAAAAAGTATAAGTGTATGTATCTTTAATTAAAGATTAAAAACAAATGATTTGATTAAAAAAAGACTGTTTTTAAAATTATTTAATTATTTTTGGTCTCTCTCTTTGCATGAGGTGGTCTTCTTTGCATGAGGTAGTCTTCCTCTTTGCATGAGGTGGTCTTCTTTACATGAGGTAGTCTTCCTCTTTGCATGAGGTAGTCTTCCTCTTTGCATGAGGTAGTCTTCCTCTTTGCATGAGGTGATCTCTTTCTTTGCATGAGTTGGTTTCTCTCTTTGCAATAGGTGGTCTCCTTTTTTACATGAGGTGGTCTCTTTCTTTGTATGAGGTGGTCTTCTTCGTTGCATGAGGTGGTTATCAGGTTTCTCAAGAACCAGATAATGATTGTAATGTATGTTTTATCAGAACAGGTCAAATGGTTAATGATTCGTACCTTAATGGATCCTTATGAAGTCCAAGGACCCCAAAGCACTTTTCACTACATTCAGTGTCTTTCCAAACAAACACAATGATGACAATGGCCTCAACCCAGCAACCTGCCAATTAAAGGACGAACCTTAACCCCCTGAGCTGTTCACCTAAAACCTGGAGAAAGCTTCTTCAGAAGACTGTTGCTCAACCATGGAGGGACTTTTGTAGTAGGCTATGGCAGGCTGTTTTGACATTTATGAAAAGCGCTCACATTGTTGTTCCATTTGTAGATCACTAAAAAAATAGGATTCTTCCTTGTCGAAATCACAATCCTACTAGTCAGAACTGTAAATATTGACCTTCCCAATTAAATTTTTACCAGGATGATGTAAAAAAAATGGAACTTGTAAAAATGAAGTTTCAGATGCTTAAAAAATTTAAAAATTTTAAGTGACCATTTTGACATTTGTGAGTTTGACTGAATATTTATTTCAGACATATCAAATATGTTTCTTCCTAATCAAATAATAATTTGAAACATCTAAAATAACATCACAATCCAAAATGAGCATTGCTGATGTTTTTGACAGCTGCACAGTGGAACTACCTTTTAGCACTATTGCCTTTCAGCAAGAAGGTTCTGGGTTCGGCCCAGGGTCATTCTTCATGCAGTTTGCATGTTCTCCGCTGGTTCTCCCCGGGTACTCCTCCCACAGTCCAAATATCCCCTTTACTCAATGAAATGACATTACTCCAATCTAAAACAAACATTCTGGATGTCCAAGAATGAATTTCAGATCGCCAATTTTTACTAGTCATAGTTTTTATTTCAGATATCAAGAATCATTGACTAAGAGTAACTTACATATTTTTAAAGCTTTGGAACTTAAATTTAAGACTTTTGTAAGTTTTGCTTCTCTATTAACTTGAAAGCATTAATGGCGCTGGGGGTGGACTAACTGACAGATTTTTTGATGTCAAGAATTGGATTACTGCAATATTTTATTCATTTTTTTATCTGAAATTGTTATTATAAATAGAATTTATTTGATTATGGAGATCTGATATTGGGGTTCATCCTCGTCAGATTTGGACATCCAGAATGTTTAGCTTAGACATGAAGAATGTTATTTTAGATGTCTGTAAGAAAAAGCCCAATAAACATAGTAATAATTAACTTTAGGATATCTGAAATGTTTGTTTTAGATAAAAAGAATGTTATTTTAAATGTCTGAAATGTTTATTTTAGATAAGAAGAAATGCATTTGAGATATATAAATTTCACATTTAGTCAGACTAATAAATGCCAAACTAGCCTGCCTTAGACCTCAGTATTCTACAGTTTAATTGGAAACCTTTGTACCAAACCAGATGGTAAATCAAAACAAGGATCCTATGGCAGCAAATACATGTCAGAGTGGCTGAAAAGGTTAAAGTCTTTGTTTTTACTGGTTGAAGGCATTAATTAATAAAAAAAATTTTGCAGTATTTTTATTTTATTTATTTATTTATTTATTTATTTTTTACAGTGTCCTTTCTGACAATGTGACAATAAGAATAATGGTCTTGATGCCAAAAAAGATCCCAACAGATTTTGGTTTCACAAGTATAATTCATGCAGGGAGTATTACAGATTATAAGGACACTGCAATGTAAGTAGAACAGGAAAGAAAAAACAGGAAAAAAAAATGAGAAAAGATAAAAGAAAGAGGATAAAAAAGGGGAGATAATTATAAAACATCTTCAGTCTGCATCATCACCTGCAAAGAGGTGTAGAAAGAACAGCACAACCAATGGTTATATTATAAGCATAGTATAACCAACGGATATAGTAAAGCATTTAAAGACAATTACAAGGTGGGCTTTCTATCACCTGAAGAACATTTCCAGGATTAAAGGATTAATGTCTCAGCATGATCTGGAAAAACTAATCCATGCGTTTATTTTTAGGCGAATTGATTACTGCAGCGGTGTTTTCAGAGGTCTGCCTGAAAAGTGGATCAGACAGCTGCAGCTGATCCAGAACGCTGCTGCCCGTGTCCTCACTAAGACTAAGAAAGTAGAGCACATCACCCCGGTTCTAAAGTCCTTCCACTGGCTCCCTGTATCTCAGAGAAAAGACTTTAAAATACTTCTGTTAGTCTATAAATCTCTGAATGGCTTAGCACCTAAATACATCACAGACTTGCTATCAGTGTATCAACCCTCCAGACCACTCAGGTCTTCTGGCTCCAGCCTGCTCTGCAGACCTAGAACCAGAACTAAACATGGAGAAGCTGCATTTAGTTCCTATGCTCCACTTATCTGGAACAAACTTCCAGAGAACTGTAAAAGTGCGGAAAGCCTGAGTTCCTTTAAATCAAGACTAAAAACACATTTGTTTAGGATTGCCTTCCACTTTTCTAGTTAAACAGTTCAACTGAAACATCATTAGTTCAACTTTTTGATTTTCTTGAGTCCGACTGTTGTTAATGTTCTTTTTTGTTTCTGCATTTTTATTTTATTTATTTTTTCCTACTTGCTTTGATTCTGTTTTATTTTCCTATATTTTAATCAAGTAAAGCACTTTGCATTGTCTTTGTACTAAATTGTGCTATACAATAAATTAGCCTTGCCTTGCCAAGAGATTAAAATAACACCTTGATACTATCGCTGAAGTATAAGTAGTATTATTTATTCTGACATGTGTACTGTGTTAGCTGAAGATAAGAATATGCGATTTCCTTAAGGAAGTGAATCTCTTAAGTACCTGGAACCAAGCATATGTAGTTGTTTGTGAGAGTGCACTTGCGCATGTCAAGTTTATCCATAGGAAAAATGCTGAATAGTGGTTGTGAAGAGCCGAAGTTGCGTGTTGCTCTCTGGTGTAATTAAAACTGGGATTACCAAAAGAGGGTGTCCGGCACAGTAAAAAAATCTCTATACTGATTTATGCTGAGTTTTTTTTTTTACAGTTTAACGTCTTCAAAAGATTGACTTTTACAAATGTGTCAATAACGAGCAAGTTGATGGGAGAACAGGAAGTCTAGAAATCACCCTGAGAATCCCTCCTGGTTAATCAGAGCACCTCTTAGGAAGAACGATGCTGGGTGCTCATATCTGGGTGGTCATATCGAGGCAAATATCAGCTCTGAATGTGAAGCAAAATCAGTCATTATTATGAAAGCTAAATCACAAAACTAAACTGCTCAATTTGTCATTAGAATATAATAGAATAGAAAATTCCTTCATTGTCCCACAATGGGGGTAAAGTGATTTTCTATTCTAATTTTTAAGTAAAGGCAGCATCTTAGCCAAAAGCTGCTTATGTCTCTGTCACGCAATAATACGTTTCCGAATTGTTTCCCTGCAGACTTCTTCCCCCCTCCAGAGAGTGAGGAGCGTGGACTGACGCGGCCTGTGGTGGCTGGCATCGTGGCCACCATTTGCTTCCTGGCTGCAGCCGTCCTCTTCAGTACGATGGCTGCATGCTTTGTCAACAAGCAGCGGCGGAAGAAGCTCAAGAGGAAAAAAGGTGAGGGCAAAAATTTTAAATCACCAAATATTGACATTTCTTGGACTAATTCCTTTCTCTGTAATTAATCCTTTCATTGAAGACATTTTTAGTTATTCTGTTATTAAAGATTTACTTTAATCTGCTTATTTTAAACAGATACAACATATGTTGTCTTTTATGGAAAATAAAAACAGTGTTGTGAAAGAAAAGGGGTCTAGAAATGCAAGTGTGGTCGCAGAGCCTCTGCAGACACATGCGTTTCACTCGGGTCGATTCCACCCACTGTGGTCCCTTTGCTGTAGCAGAAAACACGGCAGGTCTCCCTGAGTGAGTCCCTTACTCTGCTGTCATGAGACCATCATGGGTGCCATGCTATGAGCGCTTTAGTTTAAGGATTTATTGTTTTTTCTTTGCAAGAATCTTCTTTCTTTTCTTCTTGAAGACTTTTCTTCTTTTCATTCCTTCTAACTTTCCAACAAGTTGACCTGTTTACATGTTTACTCTTGAAAGTTTTAAGGTATTAACCCTGTTTTGTGTCTTTCTCTAACTCCCCAGATCCCCCGCTGTCCATAACGCACTGCAGAAAAAGCATGGAAACACCGTAAGTAATCCAAGCCTTGGCTAATAGCTGTTATGAAACATTTCAATGAACACGAAAGAAAATTGAAAAAAAATAGGAGTTCAACAAGAAGGCAAACAAGCTCCACCAACATATCTGCTAAAAGCAGCGATCCTGCAGGTTTTATCTCAGTCTAACAGGATTCACTCTATCAGCTGCAAAAGGAGTTGAGAATTATCAGTCATGTTTAAAGAACATACTGCCATACGTTTGTCTTTTTTTTTTTGTCCAAATCCTAAATCCACTATAATTTAGTGACATTTACTTAATACCCCTGTCTCCAGGGTGTTTTACTGATCTTTTAACTCATTTTTTAATCTCTCTGACTCAGTTACAAATAGTTGATTGGACAAATTTTGAATTCCATTAATTCACTTCATTTCACTCAGTTTGTGATTATTGGGATCTACTTAAACATGTGTGATATAAATATTTTATTCTTGGTCTAACAATAAAACTGAGGGGTTATTTGTAGAATTCAGCTGATAAAATTTGGAGTTATGCCCCCGTGTAAAGCTAGTGGTGCGTGTCGGCTTATATGCTTTGAACATCCTGGGTATTTTGATTATTACATTTCATATTGATTGCAGCACTGAGTCTTGGAAGTGAGTCTATACAGCCAAGGAAGCATTAAAGCTTATCAATAAGGAGACTCCAACACTTTCCTTGTACAACTTTAGAGATTTCATGACCACAGTTCAGGGTGGATTCATAAACCAACCACTTAATTGGAAGCTTTGCCTTGTGGCTCAGCTCTCTCTTCACCTCAACAGACCTCTATGGTCCAGTTGACCTCCTGTTCAATTATCCCCTCACTTAAGAACAGGACCCTTAATTTGTTGTACTCCTCCACTTAGGCAGGAACTCCTCTCAGACCTGAAGAGGAGAGGCCCCAAAGTTTTAGATAAGAACCATAGACCCAGACTGTCCACCCCTGCACCCTGGCAGAGACCTTCCCGGGGAGGGTGGGAAGTGTGATCCTCATAGTGCTGGAACACGTCCTCTGGTACCTGTTTTTGTGAAGGGGACCTTTCACTCTGGCAGTCTAAAGCTGTGCATACACTGTACGAGTTTTTAGAATAGAATTTAATAGAAAATCCCTTTATTGTCCCACAATAGGGAAATTCTGGTGTTTACAGCAGCAAAAAGCTTATGCAAAACATTATCACACAAATGTGGACCTTAGAAAAGTGTATGAGAATAACATACTAGTGAGGAGTTAAAAGATAAACAATAAAATACTGTACTGCAGTGTTTTAACAATATAAAACTGAGCATCTGGAGAATTAATAACCAATATGCAGCTATGAACATTTTTCCAGTAATGGATATTTGAAAATAGCAGCAACATCAGAGATGTGCAAAATGACAGCTGCAGGTTATTTAACTGACTAAGGTAGAAACTGCAAAATCAGCATGAATGGAAGAACTGATTGAGGTTGTTGGGAACAGTGGTGGTTCTAGTGTCTTCCAGCTGCTGGGAGGAAGGATCTGTGATAACGCTCCCTGGTGCATTTAAGGTGGAGCAGTCTGTCACTGAAGGAGCTCTCCAGTTCAGCACCAGCTTCATGCATGGAGTGGGAGACATTATCCAACAGAGATATTGGTGTCCTGTTTTGCCCTTTCGGGCCGATTCTCTACTCGTGCAAGATTTTTTTGGATCTGGCCGATTTTCAGCTTTATCGCACTCCCTTCATTGATGAGGTATACAGGGGGTAACGAGGGGCCTCTCACAACCACCTCCTGATCAGAAATCCTGAGGTCTAGAGAAAACAAACATGTTTGTGGGCAACTTCTGCTGTTGAAGCAGAGCTCAGAGCTGATTTACCTGAACCTCGCACACTGCGTGCGTGCAAACAAGGGAGTCCTTCTTCTTCCAGATTCACAAGTCCGACCAGCGTCATCTCTCTGCGCTAACTCAGACATTTGGTTTCTGGATGTACACTGTGAGCAGTTAGATCGCATCAGATTGATGGATCGTACGGTGTAAGAACATACATCTTGAGCTGTAAACTTTAAAACCCTGCGGTTTCATCGTACAGTCTGAGTACAACGATTGAAAGTATCATACAAAGTACCTATGGGCACTGTCCCCAGTAGCCACATCCAGAGGCCATAAGATAGTTATGAGATCTCGTCCACATGCAAAACCATGTCACAATGGATTTCTTTAACCACCTCTCTGACTTCAGCATGCGGTAATGAACAAGTCTGACTTCAAGCATCCAGTCTCTGCCTCTACAAGAGAAGACATGACGATCGTGTTAAGGGAGTCCTCAAACATCAACAATTTCTTCCGTTCAGGCTTATCATCTCCCCACATCTGGAACCGACTCTGCAGCAGGATGCCTGGCCTCATGATATCTGTTTGCTGCCTCAGGAATCCCACAAGCCAGCCAGGGGCAAAATTAACTCTACTTTAGCTGAACGGAGTGTCATGATGGGATTAGGTTCCTAACCCATATGCAGAACACACACGGAGTCAGATGAAAAGTTTAACTGTTTATTAAAAAACAAAGACAATGTTAATGTACAGATGCTGGGAAACAGACCCGGGACTGGTCACACAGGGTTCTCTGTAGAGAGGGACAGTTTGGTTAGCCAGGATGCGGTTGATCTTGTCAGAGGAGTTGAGCAGGTCTGTACCTGTGTCGTGATTCAGGCTTGCAGCAGAGGGAGGGAACCAGGAGGGTCCAGAGGCTAGTAGTTGGCAGAGGGCTAAACAACGGCAGGGCTCGACTTCAGACTTATCAGTGTTCAGGTCCAGAGTTTCTTCCGATCCTCTTCTTGAGAGCGGGCAGGCAGGTTCAGACAGTTAAATCCTTCAGATGAGCTCCTGAGAGCTGGCAGGCAGATTTCAGCAGAGAAACTCTTCCAGAGTTCCAGGGTACAGTCAGGTCTCTTCCTAAGAAGCAGAGAAGACAAAAACTGATTAGGTTCAGGTTCTGGTTTCAGGGGAGTCTGAGAATCAGACAGGCTGGTTGGCTCAGGCTTTGCTAACCATAACTGGCTTAACACTCTGGCGCTGGAGTGTAGTCCTGCCACTGCTTATATCCTGGTCTCCTGATGAGCAGATGAGAAACAGCTGGTGAAGTCAGTTCCAACTTCAGGAGACCCAGAACGCTCTCTGGAGGAGAAAGGCAGACAGAACCCAGAAACCAAACAGAAAAACAAACCCCAGGAGGGGATCCTTGGCGCCCTCTGGTGGGCAAGCCTCCGGATCCCAACACGGAGTCCCTCACTGCCTGTTTTAACCACCGGGGTTCTGGGGTCGCTGCCTTGGCAGGCACCACAGTACTACATTAAAGGTAAATCAGAGAATCAGACTTTTTATCTCCACCATCTCCCAAAAGAGCTCTTCAGAGGAGGGGGTTAAATCTAGCCCTGACAAGGGCTCCACCAGACATTCACAGCAGATGCTCACTACCGGCTTTGTCCTGCCAGTCTGTATGATTTTCTCCTCCAACGTATTGAACTTGGTTATAATCATTAGAAAGCTCTGCCTCTCTTATTACTCTGAAAGTCAGAAGATCTAGCTATTAACCTTGGTCATAAACCCCCAGCCTAGGGTGTCACGGAGCAAAGTGCACCGGTGAAGATGTTATGCTTGAACATGAACAACATATGACTTGAATAAAGGTCCAGAAAATTAAACAGGTTTAGAGACCAATCTCCCAATTGCTTAAGGCAGGGGTTTTCAACATTTTCCAGGCCAAGGACCCCCAAACTGATGGCGAGATGGAGCAGGGACCCCTAATTATATATATATATATATATATATATTGTATGAAATTGTGTTCTATCAAGCTGGTCATATAGTTACTCTATTACAGATGGAGTAACGTAATGAAAGTAATTTCTCCCTGGGATTATTAAAGTATTTCTGATTCCTGGTTGATGGGGCAGGTGTTGTGAATGAAATGGTTCCCAGGTTGAAAGAGCTCCTGTGTGTCGCTGAATGTGAGCATTGAAGACTGAAAGACATCTTCTGCCTCCATTTATCTGTTTACTATAGTGTGTTGAATTCATGTTAATGTGTATTTAAAGACATTTCAATTAGTGAAAAAAAAAATGCAGAAATTGAAGAAATTCACCTTAAGGTATCGCTGTTGATTTTCAAATGGGAGTTCAAGTCTCCTGTAGGATGATGGAGTCCCAGAGAGTTGTAGTGTCCATCATCCCGACCAGGGAAGCTAAGAATGCATCATAGTCTGTGAGGCTCAGCTCATTGGTTAAGACAACAACCAAAGCCCTCTCACCTACTTCATAGGGGCAGGGTTGCGACCGTCTCATCCACTCCGGTCATCCCCTATACCAGAGATGGGATACGATCAAGTAAAATGATACGACTGGCATAAAATCAAATACAAACAGCATAAAAATAAAACTCACCGTTATGTTGAATTAGTAGGAACCCTGAGCTTGTTTCCCTGAAATAAGCCAGTCCCATCTAGGCGTAATCGGAGACAATGACGCAGTGTGCTCCTGATGTCCAGTCTGGTCCGTAGCTTTGTTTTGGTCGCTGTAACCACAGAAAATCCCGCTTCACAAAGATAGGATGTTATAGATAGGATGAGTCTTGAACTGAATTAACCTGTGTCAAGAGGCACAGATGCAACGACTGATGTAATTGGGAGAGAATACCGCAATGTTTTAGATTTTTCAAAATAAAACATCACTCATACTCTCATCGATAAATTAAATATATATATACTTTTTTCTCTGCGGCCCGGTACCAAATGACCAACAGACCGGTACCGGTCCGCGGCCCGGTGGTCGGGGACCGCTGCTGTAAAGTGCCTTGAGATGACGTGTTGTGAATTGGCGCTATAGAAATAAACTGAATTGAATTGGTCAGATCAGGGAGAGGACCAGAGAAAATTACGGATTCCGACATTTTTTGGCAAACTTACACACAGAAGCAACACTAATTTTAGTGACTCCTGATCGGCGTAACAGGGTGTCATTACCGCCAGCGTGAATAACAATCTTACTGTATTTAACCTTATCCTTAGCCAGCAGTTTCAGGTAGGATTTGATGTCACCCGTTCTGGCCCCTGGCAAATATTTGACTATGGTCCCTGGTGTCTCTAATGCCACGTTTTTGACTATGGAGCTGCCAATCACCAGAGTGGGCTTCTCAGAGGGTGTGTCACTGAGTGGGGAAAACCTGTTAGAAACGTGAATGGGGTTGGTGGTGACTAGTGGGCAGAGATCCACGACTACGCTTTCTGTGTACAGTTACCCAATCGCCTGGCTGCTCAGGCACAGTTGGAAAACCACTACATGGAGGTGGTCTTGGTGGCTTTGGGCACTTAACAAAAGGGCCCACTCTAACTCCTGGATGTTCAACAGCCCAAAGCCTATTCTAACTCTGACACCCTCGCCTCCACAGCTAGAAAAATACTACACTTATTACACATCCCATTATCACTAAAGGAGGCAAAGGAATAGCTGAACATCTGACACTGAGAGCAGGAGAGAGGAGAGGAAGAAGGAAGAGTTGGAAAAGAGTCAACGTAGGGAGAGAGCAAAGTCATAACGATGCTAAGCTAAAACTAGCCTAGGTTAGCTAGTCCTTACTTCCAGAAATATAAACGTGTGAAAGCGACTGTCAAGGGCTCAGAATGTAGGACCCAATATTCCAGGCGAGACAGACAGTGATAGCTTAAAAGGTGTTAATTGAAAATACATGATTCGCGGAGCTGTGGGACACGGCCCATCAGTGGCAGCTCTGGTTAGAGAGAAACACATGTAAGCGATCATGATAATCTGACAGACAATGGTTATTCATGTGAGTCACTTGCTTGGTTTAAAAGTTCAGTCCAACTCCTTGGAGCGAGGTAGGATCCAGCCGATGGATTGCCAACGAGATACGGCAGGAGCCGTCCACAGTGAACCAGATACTGCAGACCCAGTGAGCAAGCATGAATCAGAGCCAGGTCAGGGAAACAGTTCAGGAGGTCCACGAGTCCGTAGCCCAGCAAGGGGTTCCGATCAGAACAGGAACAGGCAGGTCCAGGGTTCTAGGAGTCCACAGAGATTTCAGACATGTACAGGGTTACAACAGTCCAACAGAGAGTTCAGGCAGACGTGCTCAGATGGGATCCAGCAAGCTCAGTAGTTGAGAGGCAGAACAAGGCTTGAAAACAGGACAACTACGGTACTTTTAAATTAGCGCCCTCCACTGAGCCAAAACAGGAACAGGGCAAGCTCAGTGGATAAGAGACAGGACATGATCAGGGACACTAAGACAATACAATACTGTCAGTGCAAGGAGGCGGTTCCAAAAGTTTGGACCCTGTACGGAGTATTAGGACCAGGCTAGAGATTTCTTTTTAAATACAAGATTAAAGTCATAACATTATAAGAATAATGTTTTAACATTATAAAGTTTTGAGAATAAGGTCATAGTATTACAAGATTAAAGTCGTAACTTTATGAGAATAAAGACGAGGATAAAGTAAAAAAATTACGAGAATGAAGTCATTATACTACAACCCTTTTTAGAAAGAAAGCTTCCAGCATGATTTCTTCGATACAGACATATTCGTTTGCACAATTGTTTCAAAGTTCTCATACTGATAATTTGATGCTGGTTTGCTAAAAGACTTAAAAGGGAACACCGTTTTTTTTACATTGGCCCTTGATTTTATGTTATAACATCATGTTCTACTCACCCATATGAGTTTTGTGTCATTTGGAGCCGATCTGAAGAAATTCTGTTAGGTTATATCCAAGTAACGTCTTCCTATGGGCAACGAGTTGAAGGCACAAACTAAACTGTTCATAATGTATTCTTTATGGTACGCCAGCATTCTGCCAGATGACGTCATACACACTCCGCTTTGTTTAAAAAAATATATAAATACAAAAAATATAACCGCGGATGTCTGGAGGACAGTGATTCGCCAAAATGTAATGAATGCTGGCGTACCATAAAGAATAAATTATGAACAGTTTAGTTAATTCCGTTAATTTTATGACTTTATTCTGTAATTTTATGACTGTTCTTGTTGTGTTAACTTTTTTCCCGTAATGTTACAACTTTATTGTTATAATTTTATGACTTTATACTAGTAATTTTACGACTTTATTCTCATAATTTTACGACTTTATTCTCGTAATTTTAAGACGATTCTCGTTGTGACTTTTTTTTCGTAATATTATAACTTTACTCTTGTAATATTGAAATAGAAAAGAAAAACCTCTAGCCTGACCCTAATACAGCCCTAATACCTGGACCTAATCTTTCATAATGTTACCTTATTGCTTGAGGTTAAATGTGATTTACCGTAATCTAATCTGTCATTTAACTCATAAAAGAACAAACCAAAAATCAATCAATGTTGATGCTCCCTAATGAAAAAAAAAAGAGAAAGGAATCATATTTCAGTTACTTTTCATAATTTATAGTTCGTGATTTCTCTATTGACCTTCAGCAGTTATACACAATGTTAATTTCTGTACATGCCTAGTTGTACTAAAAAATATTTCTCTGCAAGTTTTTTGTGCATATACACATTTTGTACACGAGGTTTATGTAAATAGAGTTTGTCACTGCTGAGAAACAGTCAGGCATTTCATTTTGAGCACAAACTTGGAGAATTCTGGGCTAAAGTGGTTAAAGATTATTTTGAACGCTTCAGACTTAAACAGGATTACAGGACTCTCTTTTCCTGGAAGTCAGAGGTTTACGGAATAAAAAGGAATGGTGAGAGTCCCACCCCTGTGATGCTCCTTTGCTGCTGACTAGCTGGTTAACAGTTGACCCATTAGTCTCACAAACTGTTCTCAGTTTGTCAGGTTGTCCTTAATCCAGGTCACTGTTGAGGTAGTCAGGACTGACAACAGTTTTCTTTGATACTGGAACAAGGCAGGACATTTTCCACATCATTGGAACTGTCCACTGTATCAAGCAGAGGTTGAAGGGGTGCTGTAGAATCCCAAAAAGCTGCTCTCTGCAGGCCTCCAGGACTTTGGTGCTGAAGCCACGGCCCCATGGTTTCTCATGACATGCTAATATTTCATTTGTCACTATGATTGGTACAACCAAAATCCAGGCACTGGTTGTTGTCAGGACTCAGAACAGAGGACCCAGTATTTCAGGCAAGACAGACAATGGGATAATTCAAAAGCATTTATTTAAAACACAGATGATCGGAGTAGCAGCGGCTCAGTCATCTATCAAAGGCAACTATGTAAAAGGAAACAGAGTTTTCATTTTTCCAAACACATTTGATGTGAGCAGTTCCAGATTAATGATGTGTAAAACTAGTGTGCTACAGATTAGCAATCTGTTTGTTCTAAACGTTAGGATTCTGGCTTATGTGCCTTTCATTGTAGCAAGTCTTTGGACGTTTCCCCACCATGTCTGGGTGGGAGTCTCTCGTGTGTCCATCCATCCATCTGTCCATTTTCTGTCACGCTTATCAACTTCTGGGGTCACGAGAGGTGCTGGTGCCTATCTCTAGCTGTCAAGGGCGCCAGTCCATAACAGGTCTCCCTGGTGACTCTTTTTCAATTTATCAGTGACTCAAGAATGTCGTTCGAATATTATCTCAGCCTTTTAGATGTTATTAGCAATAAATGTTGTGATAGTTATGTATAAATGACTCAAGATAAGATGTTAGCAAAATTCCTTCCTCCAACAAGATATCGAACACCAGAGGGGAAAAAAATAAATAAATAAGAACATTTAAGCCACAAGAAGCAACCAAAGTTCTTTTTCCAACATGTAGCCACCTTGGATAGTGCATTTCTTCAGCAACCTATCAGTCAGTTGACAATGAGTCAACAGTTTGTTTGTGCTGCTGATCAGTACGTAGACATCACCATTTAAAAGGACAACCAAATCTGGTGTTAAACTTAAAAAATATATATATATTTCTTTGATCAAATGTTAAACTTTTTAACTAAGCACTTCCTTGGTCCTGACAAATATATGCTTGAAGATTATAGATTCCGATGTTAGAAAATACTTTAATATAAGGATTTTGTTGCAGTAGCATAGAAATAGTTCTAGCTGTTTTATTCTTGTTCTGGGATCACATTCTTTTACTCGTCTCTTCATTCAAGTCAGATGTTCTCTAAGTAAATGGTGAATTTTCCATTTTAAGAAAACATTCTCTTTCTCTACCTTTCATGAACAGACCATGTTTAGTCCGTTCTGTACCTCATATTGTCTCATCTTCCCACCTCTACAGGAGTCCACTTAGTTTCTTTCCCAGCCTTGAGTACTACTGGGAAGGGCTGGCTGCACAGTACAAACCGCAATCTTCCAGTCCTCAGTGAGTGTGCCAGATGTTTATCCCCTGTACTTGCACACTATATAATACCATTTGCACTTTGATCCTTAAAACCCTTTTTGCATGCTTCCAGTCAGTCTGTCTGTATGATTGAAGTAGTTGAAATTATAGATATAATATGTCCTAAACTGATCTGGAATCCAAAGATCAAAAGTGTGTTTTCAAATCATCTTTGCCTGTTGAGTTAATCAGCTGTGTCAGGGTTTTAGATTAACCGTGTCCTAAACTCCAAACAATAATTTAGATTATGTTTTTGGCAGAAAAAGGGGAGAGTGCTTATATTACAAAGTCCTACTCATGAATTTCTCATAAAACTTTATCTTATCATGCATCACAATGACCGATATTCAGAACTAAACCAAATATCATGGGAATTGTAAAGGTCCTATCATGAAGTTTTCTATATTCGCCAGAACTGTGAACTTTGCTAAAATAACAATCTAAAGATCTCATAATTCCAAATAGGGCTGGGCGATAATTCAATAACGATATATATTGATCGATAGACATGTGGTGCAATAGAAAAAAAGAGTTGATAAAAGTTTGATAAAGAAACGCAGTTTTCCTTTTTTCTCATTGTAGCCTAGCATGTAGGTTTATGCTAGTCACTACTTACTCCCAACCAATCGCGGACCCAGGCACGCCGTCACAACGCGCCACCCTCTCAAACCACAACACAGAGCACATGAAGATGTCGCAGCAAGGAGAGGCGGAGGAAATTGTTCCAAAGAAGGGTTTTTGTAGTTCGCCAGTTTGGCAGTATTTCGGTCATGGCAAGTCGGACAAAAAACAAACCACAGTCATCTGTAAAATGTGTAGGGAACCAGTGAAAACCAAGTCTGATAACACAACCAACTTTTTTTTATCATCTCAGCCGCTCACACCTGCAGGAGTACGAGCTGTGTAGGCCCCGGCACGGCTCTCCTCTGAGGAATCTTCGGGGGAAAAAAAAAAAAAAAAAAAAAAATATATATATATATATATATATATATATATATATATATATATATATATATATATATATATATATATTTTTTTTTTTTTTTTTTTTTTTTTCTTTTTTTTTTTTTATATATATATATATACTTTCAGTTCTGGGCAGTTTTAACAATTGAGAGAAAAATGCTGAGGGGCCAGAAACTTCAAAGTAATACCTCAGGTTAAAGCAGGAAACTAAGCTGAACCATAACGACGTGCCAGCAGCACCTCTAGAAGAATAGGGGTGAGAAAAAATACCCCATAGAAATGCTAGGCTAAAGGGTGAGTTGATTTTTGTTTGGGTTTTTGTTTTTGTTGAATGGAGTTTACATGGTAGCCTAGTCCTACAATCTTTTAATTACCACAAGCTGGTGGTGTACTATTCCCACCCAAATAGGGTATTCTATTTATTTATTTGTTATATTTATTTTGGTCACTTTTCTGGTCACTTTAGTTTATTCTTAGTCAGTATTTAATAACATAACTCTGGTCTTTTAAGTTATTTTTCTTTAAAACAATTCTATTATGGTTAAAAAAGTTGGTTATATAAATATTTAATTGGAAGTCTGTGTTTGTGTTCTTTATTAAAATTAAATAATTTAGCAATATCATAAAAAGTCCAGGCAGAGCTGCACATAAAATATGGCTTAAAATCTTTTCAATAAATATCGATATCGATCAATATGCATTTTTTTTTATCGATAAGCTTTTTTTCTATATTGCCCAGCCCTAATTCCAAATTAAAATCCTATTTTAACATTTGTACCTTCATGCTGTATGTTTAATGATATAGGCCCTGCTGTATACTTAATTTGTTTGATCAGAAGTCAGTTAGTTTTTTTGGTTTTTTGCAATTACAACTCTTATGTAGTACATTATAAATCTTCCCAAAGCTTGTATGGAATAATGTATTTAAAGCAAAATACCCTTTAACAGGTCTGCACACTAAAGAGAAAATTAACAATTTCAACTTCATGATTCCAAATTCGACAAATGGGCCAGAATGACCCCAGGGATCATAAGGTATCATATGACCTGATAAGAAGTTACCACACTTAAAAGCTTATAAAACAGTATAAAACTGGTAAATTGGCTTCTAGCTCTGCTTCAACAGCAGAATTTGCCCACGACCACCTCACAGGGTGACTGAATTTCAAACATGTTTGTATTTCCTGATTGGGAGGTGGCCGTGAGAGGCTAATCTCCACTCATTTCCTCCTGTATACTACACAATGCAGGACGCACCGTGAAGCTGAAACTCGGCCCGATCCAAAAAATTCTCATATAACTAAAGAATCGTCTGGAAAAGGGCAAAAGCATGTACAGTGTATGCCCGCCTTAAGCCAATGCATTTAACAGATTCAAAGAAGCATTCTTGACTCTAAAGTTATTGAAGTGTGTGGATTTAATATAATACATGTCAGGTACAACCAGCAGGCACAAAAAGAACAGGCCACAACATCCAAATGGAATATAAACATGGAATGAAATCGGGTAAGGTTCAGTTTTAAGCTGTTTAACATTTTCGAACTTCATATGGAGTTAGTAAACAAGCCCACATTGTTAAGTGGTTAAAGTCGTTGACTGAATGCTTTGAAAATAACGGCAATAGTTTCAAAATAAAGGAAATACATTTCTCTAATTTCCACACTCTATAAATCAGTCAAACAAAGATCCTGGTCTGTCAGCAGATCTTAAGTCCTTGTGATTCCCAGTATTATCATAAATATAGCTTTGTCATGAAACCATAACGGGCTGTTTCTGAACTGGTCCCAGAGTTAGCGGCCACTACTACACAGTGAATATGGCATACCACAGCTGTTTGATATCCAAGCAGAAAGGTCAAAAATATTTGTCTGACAGTGCTCTAAAATAATAGCATAATGGTTGAGAATCATAGCTTGTCTACTAGAAAATTTACTATAAATGCAGCCTCTAGGACCAAAGGCTGATAATACATCAAGAAACAAGATATGTTAAGGTGTGGCAAACGGGGTCTACAACACAGCTGTTTGGAGAGATTTACCACATGGTTGCCTGATCAAAACTCTGCAAACATAAATAAACGGGTCAGAATAAATGTTCTAATTTCTGGCGTCAGATCTAACACATGTCAAGAAAGTGAAATATTTCGGAAACAGAAGTTTTGGGTTTAAAAGAAACACATCACTACTAGGTAGCATCTAAAAGCATCTGAATCTATAGTCCTTATAGATTAAGTTGTGATCTACCTGGATCTGGAAGAATATGGACTGTAAAACACTCCAACAGCTTGGATGTTGTTTATATGCATAAATTAGGATTGCAGTACTTTGAATAGGGAATTGTAATTGTAATTCGGCATAACTTCTTATCACTGTTATGACAATGCCATGGTCTGTAATCATGTTCATAAAGTCACCTGTCATATCATATTTCCCTCAGTCTGTCAATAGAGCCATATTTTTTTGTTTGCATTCTAAGGAACTCTTTTAATCATTGTCAGGAATCAGAAGGACCCAGCATTCAAGACGAAACAGGCAGTGGGATAACTCAAAAGCTTTATTGAAAACAGCGCTGGCTATCGATACGCAGTATGAGCACCGCCCCTCACTGGAAAATCTGGTTGGAGAAAAATACAGGTTAGCTACTATGATAATCTGATGGAGAAGGATGGGAACAGGCAGGCTCAGTGGATGAGAGGCAGAACAAGTCAGGATATCAGGAACACTACGGAACACTAAAAGGTTGCTCTCTCCACTGAGACCAGATAGGAGCAGATGCTCTCAGTAGATGAGAGACAGATCAGGATCAGGAAATCTTAGTAACACTACTGAACACTAAAAACGCTCTCTCCCCTGGCCCATGAGAACGAGCATAAGAGCAAGAGCAATAATCTGGTCATGATGGCTGGGACAGAGCAGTATAAATAGTAGCAGGAGCAGGTGGATCTGATGAGCAATTATTGTAAACCGGACAGAGTAAGGCAGGTGAGCAATTAAGCCAGCCATTAGAGCCAAGATAATGATAATCATTCATGTTTTTAAAGTTACTGGCAGTTTGATCAGAAGTGTTGACATACTTTTTACTTTAAGTCTTTACTGTATGGCTTCTTTAACTGCTCAGCTGACAGTTCAGACATGTTGCACTATATCACCTGCGGGATTTTACCTATTAACTGTTTCTGATCCGTGTTTTAGACAACAGACCTAAATGAACTGGTGAGAGTAACATTTTCAGAGTCAGTTGATCCTCTTTTGCATTGCAGAATATGAGATATTCTTTTCCTTGTTTACTCTTACAACAGAGTGACGTCACCTCATTAAGAAATTACTAAACAGTGGGTTCTGCTGCAAAGCATTTAAGAGTTCAAATAATAACCAGTTATCTAGGAATTTCATAAAATCTCCCAATTTAACAAACTGATTGATGCTTTTTCAATATTTCAGTACAGCAGGATCTGCATTTGGCCAATCAGGGACCAATTGTGACGTAGAAGTGCAGCTGACGCAAAGCTTTTCCTATTAAAAAGGAATATAACATATAAATAACACTAAAAAAGGATGAAATAAGAAATAATCTTAAGAGGATTATAGGTGGCTTTAAAAAAAGCTGTTTTAAGTTAAGCCTGTGTGTCGTCCTCCCTTACCTCCAGCACAGACCCTGGCCAGCTGCTGTCTCCCCCAGCACTGGTTTTCTCTGCCCGTGTAGAAAGTACAGCCGAATCGGATCATCATCCAGATGCAGCGTTGGATGAACCAAAATTATCTACTTTTTTATTACTTCTGGGGCTATTTGAAAAATGAATAGTCTCTCAAAGCCGATTAAAAAGCTGTGCAAGGAGAAAGATATTGTAGCAGTCTGTTATGTTACATTTCACCAATGCCTTTACTGGGAAGTGCCAACAGCGAGATCTTCACAGGAAATATAATGGGGTTGCAGAGGGTAACGATGGGGAGGCTGAATAAATATTGTGAAAGAATCATTTCAGGGAGTAAATAAGGTAAACATGCCCATTGGTATATTCAAGGTAGGCCAGGAATTCCATATTAGGTTATGAAATAACTTGATAACTGAAAACAGAGCAGCACTAACGTTTAGTTGGATTGGACAAAATCGGACAAAATTTAAAAGGATCCAGTTTTAGCTGCGCACATGAGCACAAATGTAACACCAAATTAGTAGATCACTTTGGCTCTGTTTGGAACTTATTGGAGGGAACTGAAGGTCCCACTATTTTATGACGGGTCGGCGGTGTAAACACTGTACATCTGAAATGTATTGTGGTGAACTCTGTTGACTAAATGAGTACAGCTCCAAACTATGGAAGAAGTTTCTACAACTGTCTGCTTGTAACCTTATTTACAATACAGCCATTTTAAATCTAATAGATATTAAAACTGAGTTTGCAATTATCTAACCATGCAACCAGATTATTTCCCAATTTTGTAAACCGAGGGTTAGCTCATGTATGGCTAGCCATCACAAAAAACATATTTGATGTTCAGAAAATTGCTTATTGTTTTAGGGTAAGTGGAAAATATAGTCATGCGGTAGTAAATGCATCAAACTGGGCTTTTTATCTGGTATATTTTTGTTGTCAGTTATCGTTCTTAAATAGTTGCCATGCCGTTCAGTAGGATTCTCTTTACTGTATAATATCCCTTCCTTCTGTGCACCACCCAAACCTCTGCATCTCCACTCTGTAAAATACTCAAAAACAACTTCCGTTATTGCATTACACTCAAGTCTCAACAATAGATTGTAGCACAGTCTGACGGATATTCATGTTTGTCACAATTGTATTCTGAAATGTAAGCGTTATCTTCTTGTCATGTCATGTTTCTTTTTTTTTTATGTAGGCGAAACATCTTCAGCACAACTTTAGACAGAAAATACTGGCTTTTTAATAATTTTTTCATATTTACCTGTGTATTTTGGATTTAGGTCATCTTCCGGAAAGGTGAGTCCGGAGAGCACACGTTCAAAGGCATCCCCATCAGAATCATCTGAAGACAGTCACGACCAGCGTGGAATAAAACCACCTCCCCGTCCAGGAAAGAGGGAAGACTTATCCTTGTACATGAAGACCAAAAGAGCAATAACAAGCAAGAGGTACATGTCCAAACATGAAGCTGAACCAACAACACCTATTGAACTTATCAGTCGAGGACCAGATGGACGTTTTGTCATCGATCCCACTGATGCGGAAATGTCAGTCAAGCCCCGGCGCATCGAGGGTTTCCCCTTTGTGGAGGAATCTGACCTTTATCCGGAATTCCGGCAATCAGATGAAGAGAATGATGATCCCAGACCTCTTCCACCTGTTATGGCACCACTTCGACCCCACCAGATTTCCCCAATCTCCAGTCAGGAATCATATCTCCAGCCTCCAGCCTACAGCCCCCGCTTTCACAGGCCCTTTGAAGGTATGACCATCATGGAGAGCAGTCAGCTTCAGGCCACTGGACAGATCCGAGGCTCTCTCCACCACAGAGCTTTCTATGGCTATCTAGGACCGCCTGGAGATCATGATCCCCCACCTCCCTTCTACCTGCCTGACACTAGCCCTCTGAGGTCAGTCATGTCCTCTCCTCCATACTTTCCTGAGGGTCCTTTTGTGCATCCCATGATTCCTGAAGACGTTGTAGAGTCAGATTTTCCACAATATGCTGTTTCAAGTTTCCCCCTTCCTCTGACACTAACCACTTCCTCTCATTCACCAGATATTTGGCAGGGACTAGATTTTACGTTTTCAAGCCTGGAAGGGCCTCAGTTTATTTTTCCCCCTCACCACCCTTTGCATCCCCGCCATGACCCTCCCTATGCCTCTCCACCTCATGTTCTTCCCCTTAGTGCTTTCCAGCACTCCACCCTTCCGATGCCTACCTACCCAGCCGTCCTGCCGCTCGAGGCCCCCAAAGGTCATACAAGCAAGTCTCCCAGCAAGACCAGGCCTCATGGCTCCCCAGCCAGGCATCTAGCTATGCAAGAGGCACATTTAGGGCAGCTAAGACCTTCGGGCCGTAGTATGGGTGTGCCAGTTTTGTCTTATAGTGATCCATTGGCTCATATTGTCCCTAGTTCATTCAGTAACCTGGATACACGATGGTTTGAAACTACCCCTCGTTTTAGTCCCAGACAGACTCGTAGAATGGATTCTGGCCGGCATCAGGTGGTTCTTCAACCATCTCGACTTTCACCCCTCACCCAAAGCCCTCTTAGCTCTCAAGAGGGCTCCCCAGAGATTGTAGTACGCCCCCGCCCACGTCCAAGTGTTGTGCAGCCTCCTGCACCCACAGGGATGTCTGAAATGACCCTGCTCCCTCCTTCCACAGCCAGCTTTTCAAGGAGATCATCACCAAACTCATCACCTGCTCAAGGGCAGGGTAGCAGGAGAGCAAGCTCCTGCTACCATTCCCACATGGCTTTTGCCACCTCTGCAACAAGTTATTCAGCTTCCCAGTCCCCATCGTCCCCCATGGAATGCAGTGGCATATTTGGGCAGATGCCAGCTCATAGGAGGACTGAAGAGGAGCTCCTTCCATCTGAGCCCTCCCCATCCCGGTTGTCAGCTTCAGGGTAGGTTGTTTAGGCATGCAGAGAGGGATTCCATTTGTGTCATCTGCCTTAACCCATAATGCTTTAATGTGGCAAGTAACTCTGACATTTGGCCACTAAATTAGACATCTAATTGTCTTTAAAATTCTTTATTTGATTAGTGGTTTAATAGTCATGTTTGCTTTTTATAAGATATGAAAATAAAAACTACACGATTCAGTATTTGTAACAATAACTTTGCATTCTGGGATGTTAGCTTGTAGTTTGAGATTTGCCGACACTGCTTTCACCCACTACATCTGTGAGGCACTGTCTCCAGGTTGACCAGCTAGATTATAAAGTAATAAAAGAAAAAGTATTAAACCTTCCCCAGCAAATATTAGCTGGATTGAAATGCACTGTAGTCATATATTTCATTGAAAGACCTTTAAGAGCTACAGTCCTTACAGTCAGACATCATTTACGATCCTGTTTGTTCATCTGTATCATGCATTACCCTGCTTTCACTTAACAGGCGGAGCCCCATATTTTTCATCTAATTAATGCCTTAGAAGAAGCACCATTATTATGCTTAGTTCAAGCCTTTCAAAGTGCCTTTATTGAGCAGAAGGATGCTTTAAGAAGAGTTCATCTTGGCAGGCCCTGCGGCCCATCCTCAGCCTTTGATTGCACGATCAAATCTACCTTACCTTGCAACCTCTCAGATTTTTCCTACCCACCTTCTGTTTCCCTTTCTATCACATTTCTGTCCCCAAACTTCTAAGTGTCACCAGGTCCCCACCACAGTCTGACCACCAAGGAGAGGTTTTTGGGCAAAGTGTGTCTCAGGGCCTGTCCGCTTCTCATGTACTGCAATGTCTCCATCATTATGAATTAGGGGCAGTGTGGTGGTTCTTAATGACTCCTGGAGTCTTACCTGCTTTGTTTTTGATTGATCTCAGCTATCTGGGCAGCGTTGTTGTGACCAGGTCCTCTACACCGCAATAGGTAAGGGTTGGATCCATGTCTGAAAGGGGGGGGTTAGCAGGTGGGACTTTTTGATCACCTCGTCCTTTAAAGGGGAATACAAGGCTTTGAATCTTTGTTTGATTTGTTCCTTCCGTTACTCAGTACTTGTTTCTTTTGTTCAATAGATTTTATTTATTTTATTTTTTTTGTCAAAGTGGCTATGCATTTTACATTCTGCAGCCTCAGGTACATTATGCATTCTGATTGAGATGCATATGCCATCTATCCAAGGGAGCAGGATAAAGAGGTATTAGAAACATGTCTTGCTACCTTGACACGCTAAAGTTGCTTTTTAATGGGAAACAATTACATATAGCAATCTGTTCAGTCAACCCCTTACAAAAGGAAAATGTACACTATGCTAACAGATCACTGCAACTTCACACTGTTACTATCTGCATTCGAGTCAATGGCCAGTACGTCCAGGTATTGAGTTTAGTCCAATCCTTAGATAAATATCTTATTCACTCCTTTGGAGAAACTGTGTCTCCAACTTGAGTCATATATCCTTAACCCTAAAGTTGGGAAAAAATGAGGTCCATTTTCTTTTTAAACCTCCCCCTAAAATTAAGTTTGCAATTGTATTTACTCCCATTTTGCTCATTAGAAATTACCTTTTTGGTGCAAGACTGTTTGCCCATGGTTTTACCAAATGATTTTCCCATTCTTCTTCACTAAAGGCTTCCACATACTTATGCAGACTGTACTCATACTGTCAGGCCAGGCATGGATATTTCAGCCCTTATAGTCCAGTGTTCCTATTCCTACATTTATGATGACAAATTCCTTCATTTCCCAAACTCCCATGGTGTCATCAATCAAGCTTTCCCTCTAGCTTTACAAAACCAAAACAAAGTCTACCTGGACACCTTACACCACTTTCTCTCCACCAGAGCACCAACCCCAAACATGACAGTGGAGAGAATTGTTGAGAAGCTGCGGGTCCTTGTGACTGGATGCTCTCAGCTGTGTGTATTTACCAGCTGTTGCCTGGGAAGCTTTGACAGCTTGGTGGCACATTTACTTTAAAACAAAATACTTGTTCCTTATGAGCAGTAGTTATCTGCCTATCTCGGCATCTAGAGCACTGTATTAAAAGTTGAGCTTTGTGGGTAACTGTTGACAGTAGTCTGCCTCGAATCTGTGTGGACGTTTGCAGAAATATGTCCACACAAGTATGTAGGGGGGCCTTAAGTAGTTTAAGCTCCCTCAGCATGAATGGTGATCATCTGTGAGCAGTAATTTTCTAGCCTTGCCACAGATTTGCAGAATAATTCAGACCTGTAATTTGACTGTGAATTTCTACTCTAAGCTGGTCCATATTCCTGTGGCTGTAGGATAGTTGTCGTCCTTTAGCAGCCTCTTATGGGCCTTCATTCTGGATTGTTTTTGTTTAAGTTTATCTCCATCCATCTTTTTCAGAAACACTGAGCACATTTGTTGCTGCTGAAGAAATAAAATCCCCACATAAACCTTAAACCATCCTGTGTTTTCAGTGTATTTCATGGAAGGAAATGTGTGGTCAGGGTGATGTGAATTGTTAATTTTACTTACTTTTTAATGATTTGATGGTATGACAAAAAGTTTAGCATTGGCTTTATCTATTCAGAGCATCTTCTACCATGTTTTTTTCTTTATCTGTGAAGATTTTCAGTCATCCAGATCATGGTCAAGCTTGAAAGGTTCAGTTTAGGCAACAGGACGTGAAGTTTGCTAGAAGATGTTTCACCTCTACCAAGAGGCTTCTTTAGTTCTAACTAGTGGTGAGGGGCACTGAGTTTAAAGAGGTCATAGAATGATTATATAGAGTATTTGGTGCTGGACCTTAAGGGAGTTTAACATTGGTTGGGCTAAAAATGGCATATTTGCTGTTCTATGATCCCTAAGGCAAGCCTGGTTAAAAGCCCTAGAATGAAACAACAGGTTTTCTTCCTTTTATAGTATGATCATGAATATTTAGATGAGCTGTGCGCTGATTGGTCAGTTTACAATGAGTGAAGCTGCTTAGCAAAGATGCATCATAGCAACAAGCACTCACCCCAGTGGACAGGGGCAAGGAGCAAGCAGGGGCACAGAGCGTCACCCTACCCAGTGACGGTAGCCTGGACACCGCCTGCCTTACCGGCCCCCAGCCCCCTTCCTCTGTCTGAGGACTGGTGGCTCATGGCTCTCTGCTGAGGTCCAGTCCAGTCAGCGGCCCAGCAGTCGACACTTCATACCCTCCTCCTCCCTTGGGCCAGTGAACCAATGGTTTGGCCTGTATGTAAATTTTGGGGGGGACAAAAGGCCAGAACCAAATAAGGCAACATCTCAGAGTTTTCGTCAACTTGGGGCTTTGTTTGAATTTGCCCGTTTTATGGTGGAAGTTTAGAATTGTAAGAATTGAAGAGAGAGGAGGTTTCGATGGGGTTTGAACATCTCTGTATGTCCATTTCACCCATTGAACTATCGTTATTCATCTATGACAATGGAAACTTGGGTTTTGCATTCTATGACTCCTTTAATATACTGTAGGTGAAACAAAGAATTAGGGACATCAAAAGGTACAGTAGCTCTGATTCCTCGTACTGGATTGGACATGGAGGTCACCACTGAGGGGTTAATGGTCACTTGGGAGTTTTGATGGTAGTTAACTCCCTTGTCAGAGTAGTTTTGGTCACATGCCTCAATGAAGTCAGGCAGTTGCGAGGTGAATTTTCTGGGTATTGTTCCTAAAAGTGCTTTGTAAGCAGGTGAAAGTTTATGTCTATGACCACCTCCTGTGTTAAGAGATGGTGTTTTCAGGTTAACAAAGATTGCTTCCTTGACTCCTCGCTCAAAAACTCGGTCTTCTTTGGCCAGAATTTGGACCTCCATATTACTTCTGCATTTTGGCTAAGGAAGAAAGATTTTGGATACCTTTCATATTGGTCTTCTTGATACTCCTCATTAAAGTCCAGATTTGTTGAGTTATCTATTTAGTGGTCTTGTCAACAGACCTTGTGGATCTTGCTAGCTTCTTCTGAGTTATCAAGGATGACTTGGCTTACAATCTTCTCATTGACCAGTCTGCTATGGTTCCCAGTCTACATGATACTGATTACTCTTTGAGAAATGTCCGAGGTCTTTCCTAGTGAACTGACCTTTTAGTATTAGAATAAGAGGTCTGATTACACATGCACATTACACTTTTCAAATCCTTCCTCTTCAATATTTTATTGTATGTGTAGATGATATAAGTTGGTGTTGTCACGTAAAGTTACAGTTTAGTACATATAGCCCAAAATTTCCCCATTGTTGGACGATAAAGGGATTTTCTATAATCCCGAGAAAATATATTCTTGTTTATGGTTGCGATGTTATGGTTATAATAAATGGAAAAGTTATGTCATTGCAACTGGATGCTACTAGTACTACAGGTGTCTGTTTGAAGATTGATGTTCTTCTGGTCTCATGTACCCCTTTCCCACTGGCCAAAAAAACTGTTAAAACTCGGTAACAATCTGCTTTTAGTGGCAGTGGGAACATCTTACTGTCCCATGTCTACCTAGGTTAAATGACTCTCCTAACAAGCCGCGATAAAATTACCTTGACTCTGATCAGCCTGCTGTTGGAACACCAGAGGTGTAACCTGCTAATTTAAGCATTGAGCCGAAATGCGGACGTCAACACACACCGCCAGTCGCTTCTTGTCTAACGAGCAGAGGCAACTCTGTTTACCTTTGAAAAACATGGAGCAGCTCTGGTGAGAGGGATTTGGACAGATAAAAGAGTGAAACTATTAAGTACACTTACTTCACCCTGGCTTCCTCCATGTTGCTCTCCATTGCTTATTTTCTTGATTTCAGTCGCACTGGTGACATCATCAATGCTAACCCAGTGTCATGGTGTCACCAGACACACAGCTGCAGGGACAGAGGCCGCGCTACTGCCAGCGGGATCGTTAGCAAGTCAACCCATATTTGAAAAACATGTTAACCCGCTATCAGTGGGGAAGAGGCTTTGCTTATGTGAAAACACATTCTCCTCTTACTTCTTCACGTCTTCACGTTGATTTGCTAAAACACACAAGAACTTTGTGACAAACTGCAGTTTAATGTGCATCTCATTTTGTCTTCTTTCCTGTAGCCCATTAGTTTTACCATTTGCTCCACTGAACTATGCCACCAGGATGGTATCAGTCATTATTTGATCGTTTTATGACTATTATTTGTAAAAGCTGAGTCAAAAACTTGAAGGCAGGGTGCTTTGCCTGTTTGACCCACTGCAGTAAAACCTACTGATTTGACTCATGGTCATTTCAGATCACTGGAAGATCTTGGACACAAACACAACCAAAGACTCCTCATTGTGGATCCCTTTGTTTGCTCCTATCATAGATAAATATATCACAGGCCTTGGTCGTCACTTTGATACAGGTGTCTTTAACTTATGTGGTTATGGAACCAAAGGGGTGTGGCCTATAGCTGAGAAGTTTTATCCGTGTCAGATATTTGAGATTTCCCGCTAACCCCCATATCCCACATCCTCCGTCAGCGCCCTGCTCCGCTCACGTACATTGTGCGGATTACTTGTCTTTCATGTTAATCAATGAGAACCACATCCACAGCTGCTCCTACGCCTGGCACCGTTCATGTACGTCTTACCCGTCTTTCACTGTTAAAATATGGAGCTGAGGTACTTTTTGCTCCGGTCCGGCTAGGTCAAGATCCGAAATTACAATTGCACCAAACAAGAAAAAGAACGGCGAGAAGAGATGCTGAGTTTGGAGGTAGAGAACAAACATAGTTCATGCAAACCAATGTTATATAATCCTAGTTATTCCTGTTACAAAAATCCGCAATAAAAACAAAAAAATATTTGGGCAGAAACTGCACATATGCTAGATGCTGATGGGGATTTTTTTAAAGTTTCATATTGAATTAAATGTTCATATTTTTTCCCTGTTTTGCTCCTACAAGTTTAATAATAATGATATTGCACATGCTCTTCTCGAGCTCCAGGGAGGTCTGAGCGGAGCAGGATGAGAGAAGCAGCGGAGGCTGCAGGGTTTGCTTTACGCAGGCGCAAGTACTTTCTATGTTAGACAAGCTAACGGTAAGCTAGCTCCACAGGTGGCTCTGTGGAAAAGAAACAAATAAGCAGACGAAATACAAAAGGCAACTGTCAACCAGCTCCATAGGCAGAGCCACTCAACAACTAGTTAACGCTATGATCCATAATAGATGGTGTTGATGGCAGCAGCACAACTGATATTTCTCTCCAGGATGGAGTCACAGCCAAACAGGAACAGACCAGATGAAGCTACTATGAGAAAAAGCAGAGAGAGCAGAACGTTAGAGATTGAACTAACAGATTCTGCAGAGTGGGAGAATAGAGATAGAATGAAGCAGAATGATGAAAAAGGGGTCCCTATGTCCTCCAGCAGTCTAAGCCTATAGCAGCAGAACTATAGAGATAGCTCAGGATAACCTGAGCCACTCTAACTAGAAGCTTTATCAAAAAGGAAAGTTTTAAGCCTAGCCCTAAAAGTAGAATTAGACTCAATTTTATATATTCCTTGGGATTACTCCTTCAGGGAAATTCTGGTTCCATTAGCTTATGTAGAGTACAAACAGTTAAAGCAAGACGCCATTAAAGATAAAAAGATAAAACAGACAATATGAAAAGAGTTTATACAGTACCAAAAAAGCATAAAAAAAGAAAAAATTGTAATGTCCTGGAATATGTTTCCCTTAGAAAGAAATCTGCTCAGTAGAGAGCTAAAGGAAGACTACACTGTAGCTGGCTTGGGTTATTGTACCTTTACTGCAGAAATGTACTGACCTTATAAATAAGTAAATATTACACAGGCTACATAGTAGTTTGCATGAGTTATTTCACAGTGAGAGAGAAGACTAATGCACGAGTGAAAATAGGTAATAAAGGACATCTTGCCCTCTTCCCATCACCTCCTCCTTAACCCAAGTGAAGAGTTGTACAGCTTGATGGCTTGAGGAACAAAGCAGTTCAGCAGTCTGTTGGTCCTGCATTTGGGGAGGAGCTGTGCCCTGGGGGGCTCCAGTGCTGCTGGCCACAGTGTCAGAGATGGTGTCTCTCAGCCTGACGTCTGTGAGATAGCTGGAGATCCATGCCACCAGGCAGGGGTCCACTGCCATGCTATTCAGTTTGTCTCTGAGCAGGGAGGGCCGGATGGTGTTCAATGCACTTGAGAAGTCCAGGATAGAATCCTGGACCTCACAGACTAGAACTGGTAGTAATTTTATGAAATGTCTTGAGTAGTACATCTTTAAATATCACCAAGTGGTGTTTAGAAATCCTGTGTGAAATGCCTTCTGTATCCTTTCCCATCGGCTTACTACTGCTGGTCAGAAATCAGACATTGTGGTCTGCAGTGAAAGGATATTTTTTGTGGAGTCTGGTGTTAAAAAACAGAGTTTCTAAGTTAGACTGCTGCTGTTCGGACATCTGTTTGCAAGCTTATGAGGTAGTTTGATGATCACTATTATAGAGTACAACAAAGGAAGGGGTAAACATTAAGCAGTTAAGCAGACAGTTTTAATGAAATGACTTTCAGCCTCGGTCTTAGTATTTATTCTGCAAACCAAAACCCCCCTAGTTGGAAAACAGTTTTAACAAATAAAAGAATATTTGAAATGTTAAACATTGTTACTATTGAAATAACTTAGATTTGAATGAAATTTGAGTGATCCATATAAATATTTCCTGTTCAACATAAGGTAACATAGATTAATGAAGCCGTCACCTTGGCCATAGTCCACCTGTGGCTTCAGCTCACATACCACCGCTTGTCCTGAAGGTGATGAAGCACAATTAATCTTAACAGACTGTTCACATATTCCCCAAAGCTAAATCAGTCATCACCCCAAGACAGAGGTCAACACATGGATGTAATACTATGCACAAAGCAACCGTGCCTATGAGCCTGTAGGTTTGGACTGCAGAACCGATTACTCTGTGTCCGCCTATAGATGCTCACCTACTTGATTTTATTTTAAGGAACAAATATTTTGCAGACGTCAGGCACTCAGAGGGTCAGTGACACCCATCTAATAATACCAAAGTGCCCAATAAAGTGCTTTTGAATGTATTCCCCTTTAAAGTCATGTTCCATGTGCAAACTGCCATGCATGCCATTGCTAAATATTGCTTCTCCGTTTCAAAACCAAAATAATTCTAAAAAAAAAAGAAGAAAATTGTTACATTTGTTGTCCTGGTGCTTTGCTTTTCTTTGGCTTATTTCTCATTATGTGACTGTTCCTGACTAGTCATTTTCCCCTCCCGCCATCTCTCCCCCTGTCAGCATGGTGAAGCCCATTGTAGACAGTATCCATGTCTATGAACACATATTGATGATGCTTTGTCGCTCAGCTGTGATTCTCCCCCTCTACTAACAACATTTGGTTTCTCTCTGCAGCCGCGGTGGGAAGAAGGCCTCTTTGCAATGCTAATTGTTTTCTGTGTTTGTGGCAGAGATCAGTGGGCTGCCATATTCTGTCTGCCTCCAATAAACAGAAGGGGGGTGATGAGATGCTGCCAGATATACAATACTTACCAAGATAGCCTCTGCAACCGTTACTTTCAGAGCTGTATAATTTAAACAATAAATTACCAATTTAAAAGTCATTCAGACATTTTTTAAATTTATATATCATGTTATGGATACCTTCTAGAATACTATTTCTCTGAAAATAACAGTTAGAGGCCAGCTTAAATGTCATGTATCCTCTATGAAACATCATTCAGGGGTTTTACCTGCGCTGTAAGCGCACCCTGCTGGTTGTGTGATATAGGAAATAGCTTGCTGTGCTGAGATAAAGATTTTAAAACTTACAACAAAATACAGATTGTATAACTTACTGAAATAAAATTTTGTTGTAAATTAAAAAATTAGATTCTAGCTGCACCTTTTATCGTTTATTTAAATATATTTGTTTTATTATACATGATGGCCAAGATGGCGATAGTTATAATTTCCCACTTTTTCTGTATTTTGGTTAAAGTTATTGAGACAATATATGTTGATCCTTTAGTGCTGTTTTATTCCTGGTTTTAACTCAAGTAGTCCTGTAGGGGTATGCTAACCGCAATCGGCCTAGAGTTACCCGTGTTTCCCCTCTCTCTCCCCTTCATTTAGAAAACGTCGAGGTGCATCAAGTGCTCATTTGGGGTCTGAGAGGAGCAATGCACTGAGATACCAGCGAATTAAAAAAGCCAAGAAGACAACCATGAACAACAACAACTCCAAGACTAGAAAGAAAGCAGGTATGTACAATTTTTTTCACCCCAAGAGAAAAATCCAGATGACTGGTCAAACACTTTGCCGCTGAGTAGAACTGAAAACGTACAACTAGACAAAAGACAGACCAGGTTCATCAGAATGAGGTAAGGCAAAAAGCAGTGGAGGGCAATGCATATGGTACCTAGTGGGAACCCCTCAACTTCATTTACTTCTTATCTCTTGATGTCCAAATATATATAAATATATATATATATATACACTCACCGGCCACTTTATTAGGTACACCTGTCCAACCGCTCGTTAACACTTAATTTCTAAGCAGCCAATCACATGGCGGCAACTCAGTGCATTTAGGCATGCAGACATGGTCAAGACAATCTCCTGCAGTTCAAAGCGAGCATCAGTATGGGGAAGAAAGGGGATTTGAGTGACTTTGAACGTGGCATGATTGTTGGTGCCAGAAGGGCTGGTCTGAGTATTTCAGAAACTGCTGATCTACTGGGATTTTCACGCACAACCATCTCTAGGGTTTACAGAGAATGGTCCGAAAAAGAAAAAACATCCAGTGAGCGGCAGTTCTGTGGGCGGAAATGCCTTGTTGATGCCAGAGGTCAGAGGAGAATGGCCAGACTGGTTCCAGCTGATAGAAGGGCAACAGTGACTCAAATAACCACCCGTTACAACCAAGGTGGGCAGAAGAGCATCTCTGAACGCACAGTACGTCGAACTTTGAGGCAGATGGGCTACAGCAGCAGAAGACCACACCGGGTGCCACTGCTTTCAGCTAAGAACAGGAAACTGAGGCTACAATTTGCACAAGCTCATGGAAATTGGACAATAGAAGATTGGAAAAATGTTGCCTGGTCTGATGAGTCTCGATTTCTGCTGCGACATTCGGATGGTAGGGTCAGAATTTGGCGTCTACAACATGAAAGCATGGATCCATCCTGCCTTGTATCAACGGTTCAGGCTGGTGGTGGTGGTGTCATGGTGTGGGGAATATTTTCTTGGCACTCTTTGGGCCCCTTGGTACCAATTGAGCATCGTTGCAACGCCACAGCCTACCTGAGTATTGTCGCTGACCATGTCCATCCCTTTATGACCACAATGTACCCAACTTCTGATGGCTACTTTCAGCAGGATAATGCGCCATGTCATAAAGCTGGAATCATCTCAGACTGGTTTCTTGAACATGACAATGAGTTCACTGTACTCAAATGGCCTCCACAGTCACCAGATCTCAATCCAATAGAGCATCTTTGGGATGTGGTGGAAAGGGAGACTTGCATCATGGATGTGCAGCCGACAAATCTGCGGCAACTGTGTGATGCCATCATGTCAATATGGACCAAACTCCCTGAGGAATGCTTCCAGCACCTTGTTGAATCTATGCCACAAAGAATTGAGGCAGTTCTGAAGGCAAAAGGGGGTCCAACCCGTTACTAGCATGGGGTACCTAATAAAGTGGCCGGTGAGTGTATATATATATATATATATATATATATATATATATATATATATATAGATATAGATATATGTATAGATATATATATATGGTTGTTTTTTTAGCCAACTAGTGCTGAACTGTTGATTTTTTCATTATGATAAATAGATTTGGACCGAAATTATTCTGTTGTCTGTTTATATGTGATATTAATTAACCTGATTATTATGGTACTAACAGCGAAGTGTGTTTATCAGTGTTTAGCAGTGATTGGGAATGTTTGTTTCTCTAGGTGTCTCCACCTCTCAGACCCAGCAGGCCTACACCTCTCAGGTACTCCCGCCCGAAGAAGCGCTCTACCTCTGCAAGAAGAAGAAACGGCCCATTCTTCATGATCCATACGCTCGCTTTTCCGCTCTCGTGTACCGCCGTCCGCCACGGGAGGACCAGAAGGCCATTTTAGCTAGCATGGACCACATGGACTCAGACCATGGCACCTTCCTCTGAAAGGCTTGTTACCATTACCGTTCCATCAACATCCTCCCAGCTATACAAGACAACAGTCAGTTTATGCAGTTTCCACCTGATGAAGACCAGAGTATGTTTTATGTTTCAGTCTGTAGCTTCCGACGCGGTTTATTCGGTTAGCTTTTGTGAGCAGATTGACACTAACCTGGGTCACTCTAGAGAAGAACCTGAACAGAGTTCAGTTTCACTTTTTCTAGTGAAATAAAAATGCATATTCTAGTCTAAAACTTTTTGTCTCAGTTAACTTTCCAGTTGTGGACACAAACAGTGTCTGCATCGTCTAATGTCGACCAGTATCCCCTTCTTAACATTGCTTAAATTTGAGATAATCGTTGAACATTTACTCTAGTTTTCTTAAAAAGAGGCAGGTTCTGATTATTAATCTCAGTTTTCCCAAACTTCCCTTTAATCCTTCAACCACTGGATGATTGAAATTCCTCAGACTGAGCTCCTGTTTTCTGAGAGAAGCCCATTTCGATTAGCCCCCCCCCACCCCCCACACACACACACACACGTTTACAGCTCCTTCCAATGAATGATCGCCCTCACATATAAGGACGATGTTACTGCTCACCTGCTATACCTCAGAGTGCACAGACCACATAACCATTGGAGACAACCAGCTACCCTCCTTTGCTTTTTCTCTCTGAGCAGTGAATGCTTTTGCAATGTACTTCCTGCTGTGTGGAAGTAACTTCGTAAACTAACCTGGAGATAACATTTTAAATCAAAAATGAAAGCCTTGAACTAGTTTCCTTCTGAGGACGGGTCCATCTGGATGATGGTTTGGTTACCTTTAAAGATTTAGACTGTTCTAGGCTACATTGCTCTCACAGCTGTTTGAAATGGAGCAAAAAAACAAAAAACAAACAGCTCTAAAATATTTGAACTTCTCCTTGTCTCATGCTGTCGAGGGCTTTAGTTTCTGTTCAGAAATCCATGCCAAGCAGTAGATAGTGAGGGTTAGGATTTTGTGCCATAAAGCATCACTCTAAACATATGTACGTCCCTTTTTTAGGCCTTAAGCCTAACTTTTTTTATTTCAGCATCATTGTTATTTATTAAGATCTATTGTTTTAGCTGTGTTCCCAGTTGGGGGAGGGGGGTGCAGTTAAAGGGAAAACATTGGTGTTATTTTGCCCCCAGCTTCAGCAGCAGCCTTCCACGCTCTGCTTATAACTGCATGAAAATGACAAACGTTTCATTCAGAAGATGAGTAAAAAAGGTGCCATAACTCAGCTGTGACCTTTTGTATGCATACTGCTGCTAGGTGGCGCTCTAAATCACTGATAGTGGACACTTTAGCCGTACATTTTCTTTTTTTAACCTCCCAGGTACTGCGATGTTTCGCTTTGTGTCATTAATTTCAGATGTCATGCAGGCATTTGCCCTGAAACAGAGCATGTTCAGAGTTTTATGTCAAAAATACATTTGTATGCCTTTGTTATAGTTTTTATATTCTATCATATCTGCTGATGTTTCATTCAGAAAACTGATGGTCTGGTTTAGATATTTCCACTGTCCGTCTACAGAGGAATTAGATTCTAGAAAATAAATTTTTCACTAATATTTCCATCTGTTTTTCAAACTATGAGTGTGGAAAAAAGGAACAAAAAATAGAAAACAAATAAAATGACAAATAAATAACAAATGAAATTGTATCTCTCTAAATTAGATAAATGATTCCACAGACATGGACATATTTCTGTTCTTTATGACAGTTATAGCTTAAAGCAAGACCTCTGACCTCAGCCTTTAATAAAATCAAAAGTTTCATTCCCAGTATTGGTATCTGGATAAATTAGGCCTGTAGCTTCTTAAGTGCAGGAAGTGACACTCCCAACCTGCTCTGCAGGGGTGTTCACGGTCTCCCTCCTGATGAACCAGTTTAGTCCAAACTGGAATTGCTGCAAGTCAGCCACAGCATGCAGCTCCAGATACTAAAATGCTCTGGTACAGGTCGCCTCAATGGTTCGTGTCTTACTGTGAGAGACATAATCTGCTAAACAAATCCAGAAATCACAATATATGACTAGTTACTTGTATGATACTATCAAGGCTCAGAACATAGAACCCAGTATTCAAGGCAGACATACAGATTTCTCAAAAAGTGTTTATTTAAAAATGATGGATTGGCAGCGAGGGCATTTAAGGCAGAAACCTGTGCAGGAAGAAAACCCAGGCTAGTGACCACCTCTATCTGGAGGAATATGATAGAGAACATGTGAGTCACTAACCTGGTCTTAAAATTCAGTCCGGGCCCAGAGAACCAGGGTAGTTACAGCCGAACGACTGCAAATAATACTGGGAAGGTGCTGCAAAGAGAGTCCCAGACGTTGAAGTTCCGGATGACAGAGAACAAGTAGGAGATCAGATCCGAGCAGATAAAGGAAGGGAGGATAATCCAGGGGGTGAAGCCAAAGCCATGTCCAGGACAAGCTCAGGATTCAGAACCAGGAGATCTGATCAGAGGTCCAAAGATTTGAAGGGAAATCCAGAACAGTGTCAGGAATAAGTTCCAAGTGTGGTTACCATGCAGAACCCAGCAGGAGTCCGAAGACAGGTCAGGCAAACAGATCAGAACGGGAACAGGCAGGCTCAGACGTCCAAAGGCAGAAGGGGTTAGGATCAGGCAATCAGTAACGCTTAGAGAAACTCTCACCACAGGCTCAAGAATAATCTGGTACTGATGACTGGTTAGTGGGCTGGTTAAATAGAGGCTGGAGTAGATGGATCAGATAAGCGGTAATAAGAAACTGGGTGGAGTTAGGCAGATGAATGAAATGAGTAATCTAGCCAGTCATCAGCTCAAAGCTCATGACAGATACAGCTGAAAAGTAAGTATTTGAACCCCTGTCTATCAGTTTGAATTCTGTCCCTCAAAGACCTGTTAGTCTGCCTTCAAAGTGTCCACCTCCACTCCATTTATTATCCTAAAATAGTTGCACCTGTTGGAGGTCGTTACCTGCATAAAAATACCTGTCCACCCCATACAAACAGTAAGAATCCAAATACTAACATGGCAAAGACCAAAGAGCTGTCCAAAGACACACCTCCACAATGCTGGAAAGGGCTACGGGGAAATTGCCAAGCAGCTTGATGAAAAAATTTCCACTTTTGGAGTTATCATTAGAAAATGGAAAAACCTAAACTTGACTGTCAGTCTTCATCTCACCTCACCTCATGGGTTCTTAGTGATCCTAAGAAAGGTGAGAAATCAGGCCAGAACAACATGGAGGCCAGAACACGAGTCATGGGATTAAGTCATGTAGTCAGATGAGACCAAAATAGAACATTTTGGTCATAATTTCACGAACCATGTTTGGAGGAAGAAAAATGATGAGTATCACCCCACGAACACCATCCCTACTGTGAAGCATAGGGGTGGTAGCATCTTGCTTTGGGGATGTTTTCTGTACATGGGACAAGGCGACTGCACTGTATTAAGGAAAGAATGACCAAGGCCATGTATTGCAAGATTTTGGGGAACAACTTCCTTCCCTCAGTTAGAGCATTGAAGATGGGTGGAGGCTGGGTCTTCCAGCATAACAATGACACAAAGCACACACCAAGGAGTGGCTTTGGAAGGAGCATATCATGGTTCTGGTGTGGCCTAGTCAGTCTCCAGACCTAAAACCAATAGAGAATTTTTGGCGGGAGCTCAAACTCTATGTTTCTCATCAGCAGCCCAGGAACCTGACTGATCTAGAGAAGATCTGTGTGGAGGAGTGGGCCAAAATCCCTCCTGCAGTGTGTGCAAACCTGGGGAAAATCTACAAGAAATGTTTAACGCTTGACCTGTAAGTGCAATCAAAGGCTACTCTACCAAGTATTAACATTGATTTTCTCAGGTGTTCAAATACTTATTTACAGCTATATCATACAAATACATAGTAAAAAATCATATATTGTGATTTCTGATTATTTTTTATTTTTTTAGATTATGTCTCACAGTGGACATGCACCTACGATGACAATTTCAGACCCTTCCATGATTTCCATGAACTTGGAAAATAGCAGAGTGTTAAAATACTTATTCTCCACACTGTAACTCCTTTTATAAGTTGGTTTAGAACAATTGTGTGGAAAATAAAATAACAGAAAAAGTTGGGTCTTTGTTTGGAAGTCGGCTTATTCAATGTGTAAAGTTTAAACCTTCAGCCCTGCTGTGTCTGAGGTCTGGACAGAACTCAGGTTTCCCTGCAGCTTGGGTGCTAAGAGGAAAGCCCCAAATAGATCCAGAAAATGATGATCAGTAACCTTTGAACAGTTTCTGCCATTGTTAGAAACTGGCTGCAGGGATGCAGCTGATCATTACAGAGCACAGAGTAGCTGGTTTCATGAGCTGAGCTGCAGTGATTGGGATCAGAACATATCATGTCTCTACTGGAAGGATTGAAGAGTGGGTGAGATAATCTCTCAGCTAATATCCAGATGATCATCTGAGGGTTGCTGTCAAATCCAGACAGGCTTCCTTAACATCTCCTCAGAGGCTATACTGAATACCTGGAAACACCTCCACACATTTCTACTGTTACTCACTGAATTTAGCATTTCCTCCTTACAATACCGCAGCAAACATTAGTTCTTGGTATCTGAAGAATGATTGTGTCAGACATGAGTGACTTTTGGTATTCAGAAACTGAGAAGAAAGGGTTTTTCCTAATTTATGGAGATGCTTCTGCTGAGGAGTAGTAGAAAGCTGGTGCCTCAGACCAGATGGAAACAACAGTTTAAACTGTCAGTCATGTTTTAACCTAATTATTATCAGCAGCAATCAAGCAGCATCAGTTCATATGTGGTCTACCAATGGAGAAAGCGTTGGAGCTCTGTGCTATTCTGAGGTCTGGCTCAAACCTTCTGATGTGATGGCGCGGCAGTGGAGCAGCCATCAGACCATCAGCAGCGCTGTCAAACAGAGGCTCTTCAAGCAGCTGTTGGTGCAAAACAGGAAGCTGAGGGATCCTGATGGAACGTCACATGATGTTGCCATGGTAAAAACACCTGATGCTTTTAGAAGAAAGAAGGCCGATGGTTTCCTTTTCATGGAGGTGTTTTTTCCTGCTGTGCGTCTTTAAGGAGACCCTTACAGGCTTTATCTAAAAGGGTCCTTTAAGTTTGGGGAAATAGAGGAAAGTTTGCAGCAGATCTGGGGTCCGTTTCACAAAGCAGGTTTAACAAACTCGGATTTAAATCCTTAACTCTAAATTGATCTAGCCTAAGACCGTGAACTCTTTTTGGTCTTTGGTTTCGCAACAGCTGTTATGAATTATTTCAATCAAATCTAGGTAGGTCCAATCAGAGTTGATCGCGCGCGTAGCAAGTATGAAAAGCTATTATCAGTGGAGCCCCGATTTGACGAGTCGCCATGACAACAGGTACCAAATTAAAAAAAAAAAGAATCGGTTTAAAAGACAGAGCTACAGCTGCAAAGGAGAGGAAGATGGTGAATAAGAAGATTGCTGCTCGAGTTAATGCGTCGCTTAATATAAAATGGG